CACCATAATTAAAAGAGGGGTAAACAATATACGATTAAAGAACATCTAAGTTCAAGATAGCCCTTTCAAATGAACTACTATCGAAAAGGATGAATTCATGAAGGCACTTTCTTGGACGCCTATATCACTGACCTTTCAGCATTTTTTTTCAACTCCTACCTTAATAGTGTCTTCAGAGACTGACAGTTTTTCATACTATTCTAAGCTTTAATCTTGAAATAATTACTGTAAAGTAATCTCCGATTTCTGGAGTGTCCTATGTTGCCTTTTAGTGCAGAAACCTCATTTGCTGCACTGCAGCCTTTTAGGTGAACGATGGGGAAAAACTAGTTTTAATCATAAATTATTACTATTTCATACAACTTATTTTCAGGTAAATTGATAACAGCCACGGATCTTGGAGAATTCTGGCGAATGCTTTCACCAGGAAAGCATAGAGTGAGTGGTTTCTCCTATAAATTTCATAATTTTGTCATTATTTGTCACTTCACACCTTATATCGACCGCAGCACCTAAGGTGAAGTGAGATTTCATTTATCTCTAAAAGACTTGCCTGTAGCTGTATGCCCCTTACCCTGAAAGATTGTATTCTCTCGAAATTTTTTTTTCGTATAAATTGAGATCAAAACGTGAAAGATGATGCTTTATTCCAAATGTAAATATCTTCCTTCGTAATTTAAATCCCTGTTTTAGCTCGTAGTGGAGGCTCCAGGATTTGAGTCAGATATGTTCGAAGTAACAATCGGTCATGAGGCTGTACGCCATGACTTTAAGTTGAATGTCTGCGGCACTCGTTACGGGAATGAGACGGTGTATTTACGGGGAAACGGCAATATTCGTATAGCAGTTATCGGAATCTCACCAAGGTTATTTTTGATAGAGTGGAGTTTCGTAATGACCATTATTAAACCTTTTTGAATTCATCATTCCAATTTTTCAGCGCAGCTGATATCATTCGGTTGTTTTCAAATCAAACATGCTCAGGAGAATTTGAGCTAGA